CACTTCTTGAATAAATTACAATACAGGAAAAAGCCATCTGACTTCCAACTAATGAAAAGATAACTGTAAAATGCAAAACTGAGAGTGAGTGCAAAAGTGTAACATCTGCCTTAATTTACATTTTTGCCTGCTGGTTTTATTATTGCTGTTGGATTGACTTCAAATCTTTGTGAGATAGGGAGTAGGGGTGTACCAATAAGAATATACAACAAAAGTATGAAAGTCGTTAGAACTATGAAAGATAGCGGTGGCTGAAATAAAAAGTGTTTAATCATGTTACAGTTTTGCTCGTCACTGTACATACATGTGGGCTGGGAGTTCTATTCGGATTTATTTTTTTTTTAATTATCAGTATAATCAGGATGTTCGAATATCTGAATAAAAAATCCAAATATCCGCATATCCAAATAGTTTATAGATATCCGGATATTCGATTAACTTTTAGTAACAATAAAATAGCAAGGATTATTCGTATACACGAATATCCGAATGGTCCCAGCCTTATCATACATATGTACATACATATTTCTCTGTCGTCCTGAGGTAATTTTTTTTCTTCATTTATGTCACTCGACAAAAGGTTTGACCATGTTACTGCCATATATACTTTCACTGCGTTCAAATTACCAAAATTGTAAGCTGCGCGTATTCGCGTTGAGTCATGGAAAAGATGAGGAAATGGAGGAGAAAAAGTGAGTAAACACTAATTGAAAAAATATAAGTAATTTTTAAGCGAAAAACAAAACCGACTTCAATTCTCATATACAAATTGAAGATTACCGTTCTTTTCTTCATGATCCAATGATCGGATCTAAATTAAATTAGTATGGGACCACCTCTGAGGTACCAAAATTTCCTTTATAAAAAGAATTAAAGCCATCGGTTAACGTAGTCCAAAGGTATGAGGTAACATACATAAAAAAAAAAATATTCCGACGAATTCCTTTCCTTTTTTTGAAGTCGGTTAAAAATTAAAGTGAGTAAATTGTGAACATAATTACTCACACGTGCTCTTTTTTAACTTCTCTTTCCACAGCATGGCCAATTTGTTAAAGAAGTTCCGTATTAAATTTTCCGAGCTTATAATGCTCAAGGGTCTGTCTACGAAACCGCGCGTGGATACGCTGTTTAAGCACAGACAACTTATACAAAACTATTGCCACAATTCTGCCAATGAGATGCGTCATCTCGAAGAAGAGCTTCACTCATTGGAAGAGAAGACGCACCGCCAGCTGCGCATTCACGAGCTTGTTGTAGAACACTCATCGCAGGCGACACTCGTTGTTATGTCTCTGCCAATGCCGCGAAGAGTATGTGTAAACGGAAACTTAATATTTTCACTTTTTCTTAACATTCCTCTAATTTTATTCACAGGAAGCAATTTCGGCGGCGCTGTATATNTTCACACGTACTCTTTTGTAACTTCTCTTTCCACAGCATGGCCAATTTGTTAAAGAAATTCCGTATTAAATTTTCCGAGCTTATAATGCTCAAGGGTCTGTCAACGAAACCGCGCGTGGATACGCTGTTTAAACACAGACAACTTATACAAAACTATTGCCACAATTCTGCCAATGAGATGCGTCATCTCGAAGAAGAGCTTCATTCATTGGAAGAGAAGACGCACCGCCAGCTGCGCATTCACGAGCTTGTTGTAGAACACTCATCGCAGGCGACACTCGTTGTTATGTCTCTGCCAATGCCGCGAAGAGTATGTGTAAACGGAAACTTTAATATTTCACTTTGTCTTACATTCCTCTAATTTTATTCACAGGAAGCAATTTCGGCGGCGCTGTATATGTCTTGGTTGGAGATGCTTACAGCCGATATTAATTGCCCCGTAGTCCTGGCGCGTGGTAATCAAACGCCAGTTTTAACCTTCTACTCGTAGTTGCAGGGAGCGGTATACACAACAACCACCAATGCATTTTTACTACAAAACGCAAAAAAATAAAATAATGAATTGTAGTTTAAATTCTTGCTTGTAGTATTATTAGTTTGTATGTAATTTGTTAAGCTCAGCCGTTTGATGAAAAACAGAAAAGGAACGAAATTATTAAAATTTTGCGACGAAAATAAATAAAAAAACATGTGTATTTGTTTTAATTCCTCGCTTTATCAGTTCATTTATTTAAAGGTTTATTAGATAGTGTAACACTTTGAGGATTTGAAGTAAACTTATTTTTTGATTAAATAATGTTAAAGGGGAATTATGTAATGGATACTTGACATTAATACAGTATATTTAAAAGCTTTAAATGACATAGAATTTCTTCGGTTAAAGATTTTGGAATTTCCGAAGTCTCTTTCGTTTGGCGTGACATCATTTTCTGTAGACGCTTTCAAAGTTTAGTAGTAGGCGCGCCGTGGATTATTCTGTTTACGAAATTATAAAATAATAATAAAAGCTTATCGCAGTAGAAGATCAAACTTTTACCAATGGATTAGGACGAAAGCGATAGGCCAACATCATACGTTTGCGATAGGCATCATACTCATTGTCGCACTCCTCTGGCGTAGCAGCACTGGCCACACCCAAACCCTGATTACCGTCTCGCTGTGGCGCTCTGTGAAATTAATGTAATGGGTTTATGCATTGTATACTTATATACGAGTATTTAAAAAAATAGTTAAAACTTCTCTTTTCTACCATATTTGCGATATGCTGCTAAAATGGGAAGAAATATTTTTTTTAAAGAATCATAACTGGTAATAAGAAGTCAATTATTTACAACCATGTGGAATGCGAACGGTTTAGGTTCCGACGTGATGGTTCGCCTCAAACGACTTCAAAAGCATAACTCCACCAAAGGAATATTATGCTCTCAGCGTGATTGAATGGTTGTGATTTTTGAGCTCCTGTCAAGGTGTACTCTTGGCAATCGGTTTGAAATAGTCTTTTACCCAGAAATGTCAATCGTAAAACAGCTGTGTTCTATTGCTAAAACGCAAGACCACATACACATTTTGGCGTTCCATAAAATATTATTGAAGCTGTGATGGCAAATGTTGCCACAGCCAGACTTTGCCGCCAGACTGCCACTTTTTTCGGCACTTTAAAACCTTTTATGTGGAATAATTTGTCATTAAGTACGGCACAAATGAATACTTTGTGCGNGCCACTTTTTTCGGCACTTTAAAACCTTGTATGTGGAATAATTTGTCATTAAGTACGGCACAAATGAATACTTTGTGCGGTCTCCCGCCAATAAGGGCAGGTCCTTGTGCAAACGTGGAATTATGATGTTTACCGAAAGATGGCGAAAGGTCATTGAACAAAGCGGAAAATGTATCATCGATTGGTCTTCGATCTTTATATACATATCGTCGTTTAAAATACAAAACCGCGTATTGTGGTTCTGGAAAACCTCGGGTGTTTTTTTTCAAAGACTTAACATGTGAAGTTATCTCTACCTTATTAATACCCTGCTCTTTACTTATGAACAATCAATATTAGTAATGTGTTTATTCTTCCTATACTCACTTATTTACTGGATCCACAATACCGGCGCCATCGGTACCCAAGCCCTGTCCCTCTTTCCAGCCTAACTTCTGCAACATTTGAAACCCGATATTATCCTCCTTCAGCTTGTACTCCTTGTAGTCACNAAACATGTGAAGTTATCTCTACCTTATTAATACCCTGCTCTTTACTTATGAACAATCAATATTATTAATGTGTTTATTCTTCCTATACTCACTTATTTACTGGATCCACAATACCGGCGCCATCGGTACCCAAGCCCTGTCCTTCTTTCCAGCCTAACTTCTGCAGCATTTGAAACCCGATATTATCCTCCTTCAGCTTGTACTCCTTGTAGTCACTCAAATCCGGTTGACGATTATTCTTTTTGGCTTCATACTGTTCCATGAACTTTTTCAGTTCTTCGGGAGGCAAAAAGTCACCAATATGATGTTTACCCTCGCTTTGTTTAGTCAAAGCTGTGGCCCAGAGTTGGGTTGCTTCCATCTCAGCGCAACGCAGTTTGTGCTCCCAAGTACCACCGTCGACGTCTTCATCAGAATCGTACTCGTATTTAAATTTGCCACTACGTGCTAGTCGATCGATTTCCTGTCGCTTTCGCATCATATCCTGATAGAGTAAATTCACTTTATAATGCTCTTCGCATTTTTTCCAGTCCTCCTCATTTAGATTTGTGGAACCATAGTTCATTCGTGCATATTGCAACAAGGCTGGATCATTACGCGTTATGGCCGAAAGCATGGGTTTGTTTTGATTCGCAAATGAAGTTGGCACATCTACAACGGAAAGTAAGTCTAAAGAAAAAATTTACAGAAACCTTACATATTTTAATTGCACTCACTTGACACCGCACTTGCCGTGGCCCCTGCTGCACTAGTGGAGGCCTCCACCTTCTCACCCCAGCGGCTTTTCCGCTGCTTCTTACGCTCCTGTCGTCGAAGCTCCTCCAGCTCCTCTTCGGCTTCCCGCTCCTGGCGCTCTTCTTCGCTTAACTCATTGCGGCACTCAATGCGACGCTTCAAATTATCACGATTGCGATCTAGCATGCCTCGCATATATTCATCGTCCGAGTCTACATCGCCGCTTATGGCAGACTCGGGATCATACTTGTCTGCAAAGTCATGTTGATTCATTTCTTGTGGTGATAATTGCTCATGCCGCTGTTGTTGTTGCTGTTGCTGTTTCTGCTGACGTTGCTGTTGGTGATAAAGGTAACGCGCTTCCTGTTGATGCTCATGCGGACCTCCACTTTCACTGGATTCCTCATCCATTTCTAGTGAATCGTGATTGTCGGAGCGGTCCAACGGTTCTCCTTCAGCCTCTTGCTGCTGTGATGGCGATTGTTGCAATTCTTGCTGAGCGTTTTCCTGCTCCCGGTGCAATTGGCAATAGCGATGCTCATTCAATTGTTGCCGGTAAGTGTGGTATTGCTCGCCATTTTTTTCAAAGAGAAACCTAAATTAAAATTTTAATAAAATCGGTAATAAAAACAAATATAAAGTAAGCGAAGAAAATTAAATTTTTTTGTATATTAACGGTAACGCTGACGGTAAGGCGGTAACATTTTACTTATTTTTGGTGTGTGCTTCAGTTAGTTTTTTTTTTTTTCTTTCAAATGTTTCTTCGTTTCTTTGCTCCTTGGCGTACATAACTTTTTCCAACGCTTTAAATCCATAATTGCCAATTTCGAATACTATTGGCTGTAGCATACATAGCGTTGGCCCATGACACTTAATTATAGTAAATCCTATGCACATTGACTTATTGCTGATTTCTGCTGAAATATCCCTGCTGGTTTCTGCTGTTTTTTATGTTCCATCCAACGTAGCGAGGTTGTGGTAAATTCGTTTTGCATTACAAATGTGCTCAAATTCAGTGTCAGGCGTTTTGAAACTGTCCAAAGTCATTTAGCTAATTTTTTCCAACACCTCAAAATCGGTCAAATAAAATGAAATTGAAGCCTGTTACAACTTCGGCATTAATGTTAGACAGCTACTAATTACAGAGACGGTAATCATTAGAGTAAAATAATTTTAATCATTATTTAATGATTTATATTTTTTCGCTCGAAAATAATAATTATTATTATTGATATTTTTTTTTCGCTCAATGGAATGAATATTATTTGATTTTTATTTTTTCTCGATCACAAATAATGACTATTTTATGATTTTCATTTTTTCGCTCTGAGATAATAATTATTTATTAAATTTTATTTTTCCACTTAAAAGTAATGATTATTTATAAAATTGAAAAGGCTATACAGACGCAACTTACTGAAATTTTGACCTGAAAACTTTGGGACTTATTTCTTTTATTATAGTGTCGATACCTCTGAAAAGGATACAACGGAAATCATGCAGTTATAGCTTTTGAGTTTTTTGAACTATCATTATTAAGTGAAACAAATAAAANTAACACCTCAAAATCGGTCAAATAAAATGAAATTGAAGCTTGTTACAACTTCGGCATTAATGCTACACAGCTACTAATTACAGAGACGGTAATCATTAGAGTAAAATAATTTTAATCATTATTTAATGATTTATATTTTTTCGCTTAAAAATAATAATTATTATTATTGATATTTTTTTTCGCTCAATGGAAATGATTATTATTTGATTTTTATTTTTTCGATCACAAATAATGACTATTTTATGAATTTCATTTTTTCGCTCTGAGATAATAATTATTTATTAAATTTTTTTCCACTTAAAAGTAATGATTATTTATAAAATTGAAAAGGCTATACAGTCACAACTTACTGAAATTTTGACCTGACAATTTTGGGACTTATTTCTTTTATTATAGTGTTGCTACCTCTGAAAAGGATACAACGGAAATCATGCTGGTATAGCTTTTGAGTTTTTTGAACTATCATTATTAAGTGAAACAAATAAAACTCAATAATAATTCTTATCCCTGAGCGACAAGATAAAATTCATAAAATAATCATTATTTGTGATCGAAAAAAATCACGTAATAATAATTATCTTTGAGCGAAAAATTAAAACTGAAATATTAATTACTATTTTTAATCTTTATTGGTTAAACTCAAAAAATAAAAATCATTGTAAATTACAGTGGGACGTACGAACACAAATATGTGAGTGTAGTTAAAATTATTTTACGACGATTACAACTTGTTGATATTTTTGGTTAAAATTTAAAAAATAGTCATTATTTTCCGTCCCTGACTAATTATAAACTTAAACCCGTTGGCTACTATCGCTCTAGATTTAAAAAACTCCACAGAGCCACACTTTGTACGGGCTAATGACATTGATTGTACCGAATTTAAAATCCACTAACGATAAATAAAAATTTTAATGCTTTCTTCGCATATTGCTTTTCAAAATAAAATCGTAATTACTAATAGAAAAGGCTAGAGAACGCAAATAACAGTTACCACTTTCAAGTATTCGCGTAATAAAATTTGAAACTTAGATTTAAACTGTGACTGTGTGCGGATTAATCGAACAGCACGAAAATTTTGTTTCCTTATGGCCGTGTATTCGGTCTCAATAGAGCAGATATATTTGATGTATGTATTTCTTTTTTTCTTCAATCCTTCTTTTATTTTTTAAACTACATAATATCTAATATCTTTTAATAAAATTAATCTGAAAAAAATTTAAATTAACTTAAAATAAAATAAAGTAAACTAAGTTAAATTAAAATAAAGAGTTTCAGCAATTTTTGGAAGTTACCCAGGTCCTACTGTGCTGTAGTACACACCTCTAACCCCTCGGCTACATCTACCACCCCATTTGTTTGAAAACAATTTGCAGTTTTCGGCGGTGTTGTTATCGAAAATGCGGCTAATCTATTTACTGTAGATATGTTAAAGTTAATTTCCGAGAAACAATTTAATCATTTTGTTTAATCAGATTAACGTTGCAATCATTGGTCCAGGCTATAACTATTATTTGCGATCTCTGGTTTAAGCTATGTATGTTCAGGAACTGATTAATTTTATTTGCTTAATATAATGAAAAGTATGCATTCAATAAATTATAAGCCAGCCTNTCTATTTACTGTAGATATGTTAAAGTTAATTTCCGAGAAACAATTTAATCATTTTGTTTAATCAGATTAACGTTGCAATCATTGGTCCAGGCTATAACTATTATTTGCGATCTCTGGTTTAAGCTATGTATGTTCAGGAACTGATTAATTTTATTTGCTTAATATAATGAAAAGTATGCATTCAATAAATTATAAGCCAGCCTAGCCTGCCCTCATCAATAGAGAAACGTAAATACCACACAAATCGATTCGAGAATGGGTCTATCGATTTTATGCGAANGCCCTCATCAATAGAGAAACCTAAATACCACACAAATCGATTCGAGAATGGGTCTATCGATTTTATGCGAACTTGTAGTCAAATCAAATAAATAAGTAGCGTCAACAAACTTTTATTGTGTTCTGTTTTTCAAGCCCCTATTGTAGGTCATTGCTGCGCCGCTACCTTCTTATGTACTCATCTGCTACGTGGATATGTATGTATGTCTATATCTTCTACTAAACTTGACTCGAGCTTTAATTTAGCATAGCTATAATGTACCTCTTTCGGTTCTACTTTTTTTATTTTCTTCCTCTTCTTCTCTTCAATTGTGTACCGCAAGCAGAAGAAACAGAATAATACATTGTATGTACATGTGTTTGCAAAAAAACAAAATTTACCACATTGTCGAGTGCAAATCGTTTTTATGGGCACGTATTTTATCTTCATAACCATCACCATTTTCGGCAACCAAATCGATTAAGTGTTCAACAGTAGTTGGTAATTGTACGCGCGAGCAACTGTGGTCATTGTTGTCTGAAAAAACTACATAAAATCCTTTAAAATCAAGCTTTGCGTAGAAGGTACCAAAAAATTTATGTATGTTCAGGAAGGCACGCGGCCAAAAATACAAGTGTATGTATGTATATATGTAAGTATGCAATATAATACTTTGGAGAAGTTAGAAAAAAGGTGGAAATAAGTGAAATTAATGAAAGCGCATGGAGAAGTGGCTCCAATCATACCATTCGTACATTTCAAAAGAGCAGAAAACGAAGTCGTAAAACTGGCTATTATAAAATGTCTGCAAGCATGGAAGCGAAATTTACATATGTAAACCACTTCTCTTTTCGCTTGAAGTCGGCTCTATCGCTTATGGAAAAATTAAATTATATTCAACTCACTTAAAAATTTGATTTAAAAGCATTTAACTCGCAAAGACAAATTGCACTTATGAATGGAATATAAGTATATTTCTGCTTCGCAGTAAATTTTTGTATCATGCTTCCTAGCTTTTGTTTGCACGCTTGAAATGATAGCGTATTTTTTCAACTGCCAACAAAAGAATTAAAAGATTTCAACAGTGCTGTACTTTTACTAATGCTTTAGCTAATTACATACGTTATTCACTTAAGCGAGTCGCCTGTTCGATTCGCCACTCGCCAAGGCGAAACGAAAGCGGCCATGATAATTACACTTTCGGGGGGAGGCTTTCATACATAAACTAATTGGCGCACTTGTTGCCCAATTTTATTTGACAATTGTGCTTTAATACACACCTGACATTTGTGGAGGACTGCCTTGGTTTTCAATTGGTTGCTGCTGCTGCGGTGGCGGTGGTGGCGGCGGAGTTGCCTGCTGCAACTGCTGCTGTTCTTGTTGTTGTAGTTGTTGATTGTGTGATGGTAGCAGTTGTGCATGATGTATCTGAGGTGGAAGTGGACTTTGCTGTGGCTGTTGTTGTGGCTGTTGTTGTTGCAATTGTTGTTGCATTTGTGGTGGTGGCGGCGGTGGAGATATATGCTCACCCAAAGTATTTTGCAGCTGCTGTGGCGGTTGTTGCGATTGAATCTGTAAGATTCGTTCAGATTGTTGCGATTGCGGTTGCTGTGATTGATGTACTTGTTGTGCTTGTATAGCTTGCTGATGAGGCTGTTGTACTCCGTGAGGCATTTGAATCGCCTCAACATTCATTCGCGGATTGGGTATGGCATTCAAATCGAATTCTTTCGGTGCTGGTATAGTATTCAACTGCAAAGGTTCTGGTGCAGGAATCATGTATAGTGGTCCCAAAGTCAAAGTCATGGGTAACTGAGGAGGTGGAGGAGGCGGTGGTGCTGCCGCGAAAAATGCTGCCGACATGGGGTGTGGAGGAGGTACCGGGGGCGGTTGAGGAGGATGATTAAATAAAAATTGTGGTTGTGTTGGTGGCGGTTGCAGGTTTGTCTGCGAGCCGTGAGGCTGCAATGAAGCTTGTGGCTGTGGTTGCATAGGTGCAAGTGTTTGCAGTGGTTGATGCAAAGAACGGCCATGCTGCTGTTGTGGCGGGGGTGGCACCGGCTGAAGGTGATGGTGATGATGTTGTAATGGTGCTTGAGACATCGGCGGAATAATCGTCTGCTGAATTTGTTGCTGCATGCCTGGTTGTGGAATAGCTTGATGTTGTGAAGGCACCATTGACGTTTGTGGAACTTGATTCTGGTTTTGCAAAGTTTGAACAGACGCACCTGCATGCTTATTTTTCTCTGTTGCATTAGTGTCGATAGGTTGCGTTGCAGCCATTTTGTCTGATGGTGAAGTGTCTGCGTTTGATTCGGGTCTAGAATATAAATATATAAATATTAGTTGCACCTACAGCGGTTAGTATTTATAAAGTTATTTACGCTGGTACGACTTGTGGTGGTTTGGGTTCATGTTTTTCCAGTATTTTCTTAAAATTCTCCAAAAATGAACCATCATTGCAAAATGAGTTGACCACTTTGGGAGGAGGTAGGTCAGCAACCGGCACTTGCGGTTGTAGGCGTTTAACACCAAATGAAATTTTGCCAGTTTTACCCGTAAAGCTGTTTAATGTTTTTGCAGTTGCAGACTCTGAGGACTCATCTTTCTTGCTTTTTACTAAGGAATCGTTACTGTAAAAAGATTTTATATTGATTATTTAAGGACATATTTAGTTTGAAAATATTTTAAATAAACCTTTTTTCAGTGGAAGATATTGCAATTTCTTTTGGCGTAGGTTCAATCAGCGGTGCATCTGCTGAAGGCGTGGTAGCACAAATTTTAACGTCCTTGCTTACGTCACATATCTCTTTAGATTTTACTACGTCCTCAGTGCCTGCTTTCATTTTTGCAGCTAAAGTCTGCGCCGCTGCCACAGCTTTGGCCAGCTGAGCTGTCCTTTGCTTTTCTAAAATTTCTTGACGTTTCTTGGCAATTATTTCCTCTTGCTTCGACATCTGAGCAAAGCGATCGATACGTGCATTGTTGCGTTGCGCCATCTTGGATGTTATTTCTATTTGTTTCAATGATTTAATGATTTACCTTATAATCCCATATCAAGTGGCATAAAAGAAATATGTACGCATAGACTTTACGTATGTACTTGCTTTTACAATGGCGATATTAATATATTTGAAGGAACGTCCATATGCTACGCAGGTATGTACATATATGGAAGCATTATACACACGCAAGTGCAAGCTTATATAAAATCACATTAAATTTTCGCTCCTTCAACAACAGATGTTTGTTTTTTTATAGAGCCGACAAATTGATAAATAAGTTAACTATGCTTCGATTAACTTTTTTTCGATAATTTTCCAGGAATTCAGATTTTCAACTCCACGCGAAAATGCAGTTTTCTACTTTCTATGACAAGAGAATAAAAGAAAGAATAGACGAAAGAAACTTCTAAATGACATTTTGCAAAATGCCAGTGATGCTTATTCTTTTGATTCGCTAGATTTTTAAAAAAGGGGACAAAATTAATTCTGAATTCCTGCCTAATAGCGCAGACAGACGGCAACGTTCATTAGGATTAAGTTTTAATTAAATTTTTAATTCAATTTTTACTTAAATTTTTTTTATTCATTCAATTAATACTTAAATTTATTAATTGTAATTAAGGTTGTGGACTTTTTTTAATGAAATTAAACTCCACCAGTTCAAAATAACTAATAATTTAATCAATAATATAAAATACAAACGAACACGGCGAATTCGGCGTACATGCATAATTGGTTAGGTATGTATATGTGTGTATGCAGATATTTAAATGCCGGTTTGCTATTCGCGCGACAAACTTTTTTAAAAACGAAGTAAATTAGTTAGGGGATTCCCTTAAGCTCGAAAACCACGAAACCTCGAAACTTTTCCAGCCTCGAAAAACAACTGTCAAAAATTGTATGGGTGGCGATTTTCGCGTGCCTCGAAAACTTTCGAGGCAAATTAGTCGCGAAAAAAGCCTCGAAAAGTCGTTCGTAAGTTTCAGTGTTGCCTTTATATCCGAATATTCTACGAGCTTCATACAATTTACATTTTTCACTTTTTCGTGGCATTTTCAATGCTGATTTTATATGTATTTATTTCAGCTGATGCGATGTATTATACAAAAAACTCTGAATGAGCTGTCAAACTTCGGAATTTCTCCATTGTTTACGAGGCTGAAAAAAGGTGCATTCCCAAAAACAGCCTCGAAAACTTTCGAGGTTTTCGAGTTTTCTGCTCTTCGCGTTTAAGGGAATCCCCTAATTATAAATTGTTAGTAATTTTCATTAGAGTTTGAATAACTCCTTTCGGTAAATGGCTTTTAGTAACTTTAACGAGACCTTAACTTATTTTATTTTATTCATTTTAGTGCAGTTTTGACAAAATTTTCTTGCTAAAAAATCTTTTGTTGCACTACTTTATTTTATTCCTTTGATTGTACATGTTAAATAAAAGTTTGTTTTTAAAAAATATTTTTTTACATTATTTTATTATTTCTAAACCGCACTAGAAAGAAAAGTCTAACTTGCACAACCTAGTTGAAAATTAGCATCTCACCGTGGTTGCACACATTTGGCACTACAATCCGCTGAGGTGTATTACTTTCACCGCGATGCTCATAAAACACTATTCGTACTTCACCATACCATAAAAAAAAATAACATATTAAAGAATATTAAGAGAAATCGTTTATATTCCTTCATTTTTGTCCCCGCACGTCTACACTCCATGAAAACTTATCAAGTATGACCAATTTTGACCCTATACAACGCACTCGGTCTGCGCTTCGGTGATCAAAATCTAAATTTTTGGAATTTACACAGACGGTCTGCGCAACGCGGTAAAAGTAGTCCCAAACCATGGTGAAATTATACCACGCATAGTAATTAGAGCGAGAAAAAAGATTTGACACTATCTTATTTGAAAATTTGCCATTAAAAATTTAAATAAGACAGCCGAATGTCAGGAAAATAAAGCGAGAAAACTGTTTTATTACTGCACCTGTTTATAATTTGACCATGGTTCCAAACTACTTTTATTAGCAGATGTAAAGGTTTAATAACAACATTTTGGTGGTTACAGATTTGCTTGTTTTTGGCCGAGCTTTTCCTCCAATTTGTGGTGTGCGGCTTGATGTTGTTACACAAATGGAGGGACCCAGAGTTTTACGCCGGCTCCGAGCGGGAAAAGTTTTTTTGTGAGAAGCCTTTTCATGACAAAATACCTTCTCTCTTATATGTTACCCGGACCATGGATCGAACCCAGATCCTACGGAGTGGTAGTACGCGCCTCTAATCACTCAGCCACAGAGGTTGAATGCTAGTAAAACAATTTTTTTTTTTGTTTTTAGTTCGTAATTTTATTTTTAATAGTTAAACTTTTCATGAGTATATAGGACAACGAGCATATGCATATAATAGATTTTAATATGAATTTTTGCATATATTTTAACAATAAAATTACCAAATCAGTAGAATAAACACATTTATATCTAATTAAACTATCAATGACAACCGATATTAGTAAATCCATAACTACTGAGAAATACTAAAAGTTATTTTGTTAAATAATTTTCTGTTCATAATTTATTTTTATCCTTTTGAAAACATTACATTTTTTGGCTGTAAGGCTATTATTAATTGCTTTCAATAAAAAATAGATTTAAATATTACAAAGAAGGAGGCTGCGTGCTATATTTGCCGAAGTATATTTCAGTAATCGTAGTCTAACTATAAATTTATTTAAGATCAGCAATTATATATAGTATAGTGTATAGATTTAAATATCATTATATAGTTCAGAATTACTTTTATGAGTATTGTTTCTGTTATTCGACTTTTGAACATTCTAACGTGTCACTACATCTGCCCTTTATCTATCATCTAAGTGTATATTTTGGACTATCAAAACTTACATTGGAGATTAGGTAAATTTTAAATGCACTTTTAATACAAACATAATCAAAACGGATTCCATGAAGCACGAATATTTTTCGATAAAATTTAGCTATTACCATATTTAATTGAATTTGGGTATTATCAAACCTTGAAGCATATCAAAACTATTACCATCTGGTTGTACAGTTTGTATTGCACCATCAGCGGATCTAACCCTTAGAAAGCCAACATCATCAATACCAATGACAGTCGCCTCCTCTTTATTTCCAGATTTGTCGCATATCTTTACTTTTTGTAAGCTAGATATAAAATAAAATCATTATTATTAATAACAAAACTATTTCTATATAAATCTAAGCTTACTCGTGCAACCACTGTGTATAGTATAGCTCATAAAAATATTCAAAATCGCCAGATTGTACAACCTCCAGAAGCCTTTCAATCTCATTAAATGTCATTGCAACGAACTGCTCATATTTTATCAACGGCATATTCGTACGCTTTGTGGTGTTATTTTCTCTAATCATACTATTGATGCAAGTCGTTGGCTTTTCGTTGTCCAAATTCATACCGCATCCTAAATTTACAATGATTTTAGAACCGAATATTGTTGTTTTCACAATAAGACCACCAATCTTTTGTACTCCATTTGCATATATGTCATTCGGCCATTTTAAACGGATGTCAAGATCCTTAAATATAAATATGGTAGAAATACATAAATATTAGAATCTTCGGCGTTTCTCGTATGAGAATTTGTTTCACGAATTGTATGTGTATATATGTACATACATACTTATGGTTAGGAAATTTCAATACTTGATTCATTAACGCATTTACTTTGCATCTGAAACTTACAAGATCATCAACAACTGAGCCGAGCCGAGAAAAACGTTGTAAAAGCAATTTTTTGCAAAACCGTTTTCCCCCAGATTACCGTCAAATTTCGGTGTCAGATGATTCATATTCCGTTTTCATTACTAATGTCAAATGTGATGTTAAATTTTTACAAAAAGTGTAGAATAACGACCTTTTAGCTATAGACAAACCAAAAATGTAATTGGATAGAACTCTTCATGCTGATTTCAACCTTATCAAAATTATTTAGCGCAAGTAAAAAATTAAGAAGATATAGGAGATTAAGTTACATTTTTCGATATTTTAAAGTATCAATGTCTTATGTACTACATAACCGATTAAAGAACTAATGATGTCAAAATAAAGATGATTAGTTTATATTTCAGTCGACGTACATAATTTTTCTGATTTTTTTTATTTTTAAGTCAAAAATACTAAAAGACAAAAAAAAATATTTTTTTCATTAAATTACCTTTTTTGAAGAAAATTGCATAATAAATGCTACAAAAATTTATATTATTTAGAAAGCACAAGTTATTACTTTATATAGAAAGGTCTGTTATAGGGCAAAATTTAGCGAAAGTAGTGGTAAAAATCGAGAATGTATATACATATATTTTATTTAAACAGCGTTTACCAAAAATTTGTTTTACTTTAAAATTATGAACGTCGCACACTTTTTTCTCAATTGCTATTACAAATGGTTGCTTCTCAACCGGTCAGATTTATTCTAATTGATTCATGGTTAATTTAGTTGTCTATTTAGACTGGGTTCACACAGAGAAACTTGTCTCATGTAAACGCTGTGTAAGTCTCAGATATGTTCTAACGTCACAAAGCAGTTTTTGCAAAAATTTCAGATGAGGGTATTGAATATAAGCCCTCCATATGTATGTAGGTGTATACCCTTCATTATTATTAATTAGTTATTATCCATGGTTATTATCCAGATCGTCTGGTAACACAGATATTGCTCTTATGTTTTTACCGACATTCGTATAATCGCTACTTTTTAACACTCGCTGGTTTAGTTGTCTATTTAATACGACAAGATTTTCGACACGAGTTTTCAGCGGAGACGTTTGTTTCTTTTTTCTTTTGTTCATGAGAAGCATAAAATATAAAATTATATTGGTTTTGGTGAAAAAGTAAGTGAAATTAACTGGTTTGATTGCCTATGTAGGAAACGTTCAATAAGTAAATCATTTTGTGGATGATTTTCTAACTACATATGTAAACCTTTTTGTTGAGTGCGGGTGTATCGCGGCGCAGCAAGTATGTATTGTAATCGCAATTGTTACACACAATACTGCAGTAAAACAATGACCATAAATACATATTGAAAAAGGGCGCTGCTGAGACAAGTGCGTCAGGATAGTCACCTAATTTGCATTCTGCATTAGTGAGCGATAGTGCTGCAATGAGAATTTAAAATGCATATAAATGAAAAATCGATTATGTTGGGTCGTTTTTCTGTTTTTTTGTTCGGTTTTTTCGTTACCACCTAAGGATACGTGAGACAGGCAAACCGAGACGGCGACAGTAACGAGCACTCTTGTATGCGGCAAAAGCCGACCTAGACCGAGGCCAGAGCTGCACCAAAAAAGAAATAAAAACAATATACGTTTTCTGACAAGGGGCTGGGTGAATGATGCTTTCAAATTATTAGCGAGTTTTGAGTGGATTCAGTAAAGCTTTATATTGTACAATTTTACAAAATGTAATTCCCATTTCAGATCTTTTCACATGTTTTTTTTTTCCAGGGAATACATACGATCCTCTACCCCGCCATTGTCATCATCACTTTCCTCCAAAAATGACGTCGGCCTCCGCTGTGGCAGCGCCGTTACCGGTCAACGATCTCGATGTTATACAAGATATGATAGACATTTCGGCCGATCGTTTGGAGGGTTTGCGTACGCAATGTGCCACCAGCGCTACTCTGACGCAACAGGAAATTCGAAGTCTGGAGTCGAAATTGGTGCGCATGTTCTCCAAACTGTTATTAACAAAAGCACGTTTAAATGAGAGAATACCAGCCAGCGGTTTGCCTCACACAACCGGCACTGAGCTGAAACAGTGGCTTCGTGTTGTTGGTCTAAGTCAAGAATCATCTAACATATGTCTCACCCGCTTGTCCACATTGGAACAACTTCTCGACCAGAGTGATGAAGAACTAAAGCAGTTGCTATCCAATAATCCAAGTTATCGCACAGAAGAAGATATTCGCCGGCTGACGACTGCCATGCAAAACCTACGTAAATGTAAGGAAAACTTGGTTATGCTTGAAGGTGGCAATGGCGTCGCAACTAGCAGCGGTAATGAAGGAAAGGAACCACTGACTGAACAATTATTTTGGGACTCATGGGATCGACATCACACCCATCATCATCATCATCATCGTGGCAGTATAGGCAATATTGGTATAATATCTTCGCCCCGCACACATCGCATGATCACAAAGCAAGCAAAACAGCATCATCATCAATCGGCGGGTAGTAGTCGGCAGTCGCCATCCCATGATCACAGCTGCAAATCAGCTTCAGCGGCTGCAATAAATAATACTACTGACGATTTGTCAAGTATGCAAGGGTCTACCCTCACGCTGACACTGACTCCTTCACCTCCTAATTCCCCATTCACGCCCACAAGTATAATTAGCAATTTTAGTACAGTCTGCAGTGGTGGCAGCAGTGCTAATGGTACACCACAACGAGGCAAGCCAGCTGGAACGCCGCCCCCAATGAAGAAACATCAGACCTTACTGTCCAGTATACAACAGCATACACCTACACACGCGGCTATTGCTTCTGCAGCTGCAGTTTCTGTAATGCACGCAAGTCAGCAGCAAGATTCACCAGCGCTTCCACTAGCCAAATCAAAGTCAAATGAGTCGCAGTTTCGAGACACCCCCCTTTCCAGCACTAGTTCTCCACAATCGCATTCATTGGCATCATCAGCTATTGGGGGAACAGTGCTGGCAGGCAGTAATGCTTCGTCACAACCACGTTCCCGCTTGCATACAGATCCCAGTCCAGATAGTTATTCTTCGGCTAGCTCGGACGTATTCGCTGAGAACAATAATAATCCAAACAATCTTCAAGTACCACGATCACCCGGTACATTAACCCTAGGCATGGGGCACACCATATCACATCGGTTTGCCAAAGTCTTCCAGGTGATGTCAACATGTGACCTTTGTCAGAAGCAAATGTTTTTTGGTCTCAAATGTAAAGAATGCAAATACCGTTGCCATAAGGACTGCGAACCGAATGTGCCGCCTTCTTGTGGACTACCGCCGGAATTTGTGGATGAGTTCAAGAAAACACTCAAGGACCAAGTAGGCTTTCCAACTCTACCGCATAATCAGCCAACTGCGAATACATCGCCTAATCTAAATACTTTTGGGAGAAACAGAGCTCAGCGCCGTAATAAGTCTGGTTCGACAGTGAGTAGCAGTCATCAGCCCGATAGTAGTTCACCCGGCTCCAGCTGCAACAGCTCTAGTCCTTCCAGCCCAGCGCTATTTAATATGCAACAACAACATGGATCTGTACATGCGGGTACAGTCTTCATTACTAGTGGTGGTAATATGATGAGCTCCTCCGGCGGTGGTAGCTCAAGTACAAGCTCTAATATGCTGTCCACGCCCTCCTCATTCCAAAAGAATACGAGCCAATTCAACTTTCCAGACGTGACCATCACCTCTAATTGCAATCAAGCCGCTGGTGGCACAACACAGACACTATATTCCTCCCAGAATAGTGGCACAGAATCGAATAGCGGTGAACTTATTTGCTCACAGCTATCAGACTATCATGATGGTAACAACTCGCTCACATCTTCCATCAATAAATCGAGTTGCGGCAGTGAGAGTTTATCTAGTAGCACAGTAGTCGCCTGCATGGGATCCTATTCTAGCAACACGAACATTTCTACAGTAACAACTTCGACCAACAGCACTGTGCACTCCATTACTTCGAGTATAGTCAGCACTGGTACGGGTTCATTCTACCCGCGAAAACTGAGCTCAGCTGGTGTCGACAAGCGTGCTCCTTTTTCAGAGCTATCCGATACACACAAATCTAACGATAGTGATAAAACTGTTTCGTTGTCGGGAAGCACTTCAGCAAGTACTGACTCCGACCGGACACCGATACGACTGGACTCTACCGAAGATGGTGATTCGGGAAATTGGCCTCGTCAAAATTCACTGTCACTCAAGGAATGGGATATACCTTATGGTGATTTACATTTACTTGAATCTATCGGCAAAGGACGGTTCGGTACGGTGCATCGTGCATTATGGCATGGCGACGTAGCAGTGAAATTACTCAAGGAAGACTATCTCGACGATGAGCACATGCTGGAAGCATTCAAATTGGAGGTAGCCAACTTCAAAAAGACGCGACATGAGAATCTTGTACTCTTTATGGGCGCTTGCATGAATCCGCCACACTTGGCCATCGTAACGTCGTTGTGTAAAGGCAATACGCTCTATACCTACATACATGCACGGCGCGACAAATTCACCATTAATCGCACCACGCTAGTGGCGCAGCAGATCTCTCAAGGAATGGGCTATCTGCATGCTCGTGGCATTCACCACAAGGATCTACGCACAAAGAATATTTTCCTGGAGAATGGAAAAGTTATCATAACTGACTTCGGTCTATTCAGCTCCACCAAACTACTGTATTGTGAAATGGGATTAGGTGTGCCCAATGGCTGGTTGTGCTACCTGGCGCCAGAGCTGATGCGTGCACTAATGCCACGCAAGCCGACCGAAGAGATTTTACCCTTCTCCAAGGCATCAGACGTATATTCCTTTGGTACGGTATGGTATGAGCTGCTTTGTGGTGAATTTCCATTCAAAGCGCAACCACCTGAGTCAGTCATTTGGCAAGTGGGACGTGGCATGAAGCAAACACTGGCTAATTTGCAGACATCGCGGGACGTTAAAGATATACTTATGCTCTGTTGGTCATTCCAAGCGGATGACAGGCCAGACTTTGCCAAGTTACTGTCGCTATTGGAACGTCTGCCTAAGAAACGTTTGGCGCGCAGTCCCTCACATCCAGTACAATTGTCGCGTTCAGCAGAGTCAGTATTTTAATCAAGGAAAGTTATGTAAAATCAGCAAGATATTCAGTACCAAAAAATGGGGCATCCGAAGGACTGGGACACATGTTTATTTACATACATTTGCATGTATGTACATTAAATTAATCAGTATACGCAGCTGAGGATGATGATCATTTAAGATTTATAAATTGCGGTATGCATAAACATTTGAAAAGATATATATATATATATTAAATATTAAATATCGTTATTATAAACTAGATTTAAGTACTAAAAGTTTACGAACACGTATATGTATAAACTACAAAATGGTATGAAGCAAAATATACACTAATTTCAAGAACAATTTAAAACACTGAATGAATTATAATTACTTAACGAGATTGTAAATAAGGATTAATACGACGAAATGAGAATACAGGAAAAACTAATGTAATCATAAAATGAAAACAAGTTATATTTGGAATTAATTTTAATAATAATATAAATCCTCCTACGTACTCGGTACAAACAAATATCGATTTTCAATTAACTTTCGATTTCTCTACGACTTGTGTCTATAGCCAGTCAGTCAGTCAATGAATTTCCGAGTAGAGTTTCAAACAGTGCTTGGCGAATATTATTTCAGAAATATGCATTTGTAAATAGAACCTTAATTTAGTACTTATCAAGGCTAATTAATACAGACTTTGTAAATAAACAAAAGACCGTAACTTCAATGAGATTTAAACTTACAAAAAAAAAAACGAAATGGACAGACTTCCTGGAAGTAAGCTTGCAAAAAATGCATATATGTACATAATTAATTTAAAAGTATGGCACTTAAAAGAACATACACATCATCTGAAAACTATAAATATTATAATGAATTAAGTTAAGAATTTTAGAATATGCATTGAGAAAATGACTTACATACATATATATGAAAAGGCAAGTGTTAAATAAAGAGATTTCTAAAAACAACTATTGTTAACCGAAACGAAATTCAAAATAATGTATTACAGAATAAAGATACGAATGCAGAAAAGTAAAATAAAACAAAGAAGAAAAGAGTAATCGGATAATACTCGCCCTAATCTGTATTTTTTGGGAGCATTGGTATTTAATCATTGAGTGAATGGTGTGCGAAACAAACTTTTTTCTGAACAAACGAGATTTAAACATTTGGTACAAAGAAGAGTTATCGTCCGATAATCCTCCTTTCCCCGGTAGCGAAGACACAATAGGCCCTTCTACACCCGCACTACTCGAAACGAACTGACCCCAGCGAGGCATCAGCATAGGTTCCGTAAAGTGCACAGCACAACAGCAGCAGTTGCCGCCTTAAACACCTAGATAACTCGTGGTCTTAACCGAAACCGCCCCTGTGAGAGTACGGTTCCAGTAGGGCTGGACCGTCAGTCACTTCACGCTACTAGAAGACATTGACAGTGGTCGGTGAATTATCTGAATGGTCGACCATCGTCAGTAATCTTAAGAGACAAGCAAACCAAGAAAAATTAAACATGGGGTACCGCAGGGTGGTGTCCTATCCCCGCTATTATTTAACTATTATATTTCTAAGCTCCTTCAACCACCAGAGAGAAATCTATATTGTCTCTTAAGCTGATGAATGCTCGATAATGGCGTCTGGGAAATCATCAGCAACCATATTCACCACCTGGACGAATGAGGTCAGACTGCAGCTGGGTATTCACGTCGATGGCCAACCAATTCCGACGCTCCCCATTAAGGAGAAGGGCCCTCACCAAGGCACGTCAGGAAGCATCTCTACGAACTGACGGACGAAGTCCAGAGATTCATAAAACTTTCTCCTGGACCCAACTGCATACCGATAGGCTCTAAACGGCATTCCCAGGGAGTCGGCCTCGAGTTATATAGACTCTCGACCTGTGAATGCCGTTCTGGGATTTCATATTGAAGAATGATACATTTCGAAGAAAAGTGGTGAAAATGCCTCTATTGATTTGGATTTTATTTTACCTTTTATCAAACTGCACGAAATTTATGCTTCGCAAACTTTGCAAAACATCCAATTCTAAATATTTTCCATTAAGTTTAGGGCATGTGAATAGGGCGAACTCTGAATCATTATCCTGGTTTTTACAACTCCTGTGGTGCGAATCGGTGCTTAATTTTGCTAGCATATTCAAGAACAAGGTGTGAAAACATGCGACAAATGTTAAAAAACATGTCCTTTATACTTGTTTTGCATGAATCATTCGCAATTTTGGAAATCGCAGTTCAGACCTCTTCCTGATCAACAAACAACGTTCTTCCTTTCAAAAAAAAAAACGTGACAATTATTATTAAATCCATTGTAGCCATCAAATTTAAACTTTTCGCCAGAGAAAACCACCGTTTTCTAGTTGTCCCTTCAGGCAGGGGAGTTGTACGAAATTCCAGTCATGATTCTTAACGTTGTACTATAGTAAAATTGATGTCTTTTTGACATTTTCTAAACACAATTGTATAGAGTAGACCGTAGGTTCCTGTGGTGTCATCAACACCAACGTTTTTCTTTTATTTTGGTACACTATCCTGACAATAAGATGCTGACCTCGTAAAGGACTTTTGTTATTTCCGTCTAGTTTTTGTGTTCTGGCTCCATTTCTGTAAGTTCTCATATACAAATTTTAGAATATCGATTAATTCTTCATGACCCATGAGGTAAAACCTTTCCACAATTTTATTGAGCTTGTGGCCGTTATATTAATGAAAACTATTGTGGAAAAATTAACAATAATTTATAAATGGTATAATGGTCAAGCTCAATTAAATTGTTGAATATAATTGTTATAAGGGCATAAAATAACAAAAACGTTAAACCTTTCCTTTAAAAAAACAGAATTATAGAAATCTGTTAACGTGGTCCAATGTTATGCGGTAAAATACATTAAAAAAAAAATATTCCGAAGAATTGATAACCTTTTCCTTTTTGTGAAATCGGTTAAAAAGTGGAATAAAATCCAAAATCCAAAGTAATCAAGGTTTTTTCTTAATTTCCACCACTTTTCTTCGAAATTTATCATTCTTCAAAACGAGATCAAAAAAAAAAACTTCTCTGATGCCCACAAGTCCAGATATAAGCTTGGATCTTGAGGAAAATAACAGTAAAATTGTACGATAACGATCAAAGTCGAAAATTTGAGTACCTGTCACATAATTGAAACCAGCCGAAAATTTGTGAGATGCTTCAGGAATGCATTGAAGGCAAATTTACTCTACAAGAACGAAAGCTTAGACATTATAGCGAGGAAGGGCAGCAAGGGCAACGATTGCTTCGGAAACATCAAGATCTACATAACCGAAACTCAAACTCTAATAAACTTAGTGGTATTCGTGAAAATTCTTATTTGATTGAGCTCTATGACCGCACGGATGTGGAATTTGTGAATTGATAAAACTACTTAGCCAAAATTTTAACTTCCAACTCGTCACGGGTTCTCGTCATCCTACAGAGTCACGCACAATATTCAAAATGTTTTCCATAATAAATCTTTTTCGTAAATGTTTATTTAAAAAATATCTCATTCTATAACAAAAACCATATAAATAATTTTTGCAAACTTTGTACAAAATTCATAAAATTAATTAAACTTAAAAAAATTTTCATCAATTTTTCAAAATTTTGATTCAGAATTTTTAGAAAAATTTTCGGTATGCAGTTTTTTAGCCCGTTCAATTTTGGTATAATAAAGGGCAAGTTTCAAGTAGCTAAAAATTACTGCTGATTTTTTTTGAATTATTTTCTCGAGTGTGTTGCGCATTTGTTTTCATATACGACATGAACAAAATTAATTTTTTTTGAACGGACTACAAAACTACATACCGAAAATTTTTCTAAAAATTCTGAATAAAAATTTTGAAATTTTGATGAAAATTTCTTTAAGTTTGATTCATTTTTATGAATTTTGTACAAAGTTTGCAAGAATGATTTATATGATTTTTCTTATAGAATGACCTATATTTTAAACGAAAATTAACGAAAAGGATTTGTGATGGAAAACATTTTGAATATTGTGAAAACACTAATATATATATATATATATATATATATATATATATATATGTATGCAGGTGCTTCCATTAAAATGTAAACCGTCAATGCAAAAATGGATTTGAACCCACTTTATAGCTTAAAATTACGTATTTCGCGACGCGGTGGAGAGAACTGAAAAAATTTTAATTATATACACTGCCGGTCACAAGTATTGGCACAGAGAATTTTTCGCAATGCATGCAAATTCTCTTATTGTAATTTCTTTTCGCTAATTTTTATAGGAATATAGTTTATACTACAACAAAAGATATATTTAAAAAAATCTCTAAAATTTGTGCAAAACTCAAGAAAACTCAATAACTTTGCGTACTAATTTGCAGCTTTCAAATCAGATTTGTTTGAAAAATTCTAAGCATAAAGTTGAAGAGTCCATTCAATTTTAATACATTAAAGTACAAGTTGGAAGTTGGCCAAAATCCGCGTTGATTTTTGGCATTTGTTTTTGCTGGTGGTTATTTCCATACAAAAGAAATTGTCGAACATACTTTGTATGACTTTGTGCGGAAGAAACTGTTATAAAACTGCATATAGAAGTTTCCAAAAAAATCTGATAGAAAGTTGCAAATTAGTACTCAAATTTATTGAATTTCCCTGAGTTTCGCACTAAGTTTAGAGATTTTAAATATTATTTGGTTGTATGAACTATATTTTTATAGCCAATTAACGAAAAAATTATAATAACCTAACCCACCCGACCAAGAATCATATGTTAGGGGATGTTACGCGTTTTACGATAGTTTCCCTTACCCTCCTAAGAGTCTCGTATTTCAAACGGAAGTTTGTAATTTTGGTTTTCTATCCGCAGAATTAATCGGGAATATATTCGATTTATAATTTTTATCTAACGACCCTTTCTTTCCTTTCAAGTAATATACATTCCAAATATGAACCGCATCGATCTATAAATAGGGATATTTGAAATGACTCAACATCTGCGCCACCTAGCGGATTGATTTATCTCTCGTATTGCATATCCATCGGGTTCTGAGCTAATTTTCAAGTTGCAGGTCTCTAGGTCATCGGTAAGTTGGTTAAAAATTGATTCCAAGATTTGATTACACACAGGTGAAACTTAATAAAATCTTGTAAAGAAGCATATTGCCCTTTCATAAATCTGGCATTTTTAATTTCCAAACCCATGGAACCCCTTAGGACGAACAACGTCATCCAATCAAAACCGGACCTCATACTACATATATATGTACATTCATTCATATACATATCTTTGTTATTAATAATTAATTTAATAAAAAATATTTTTTAACTCACCTTATATAATTTATTTCCCTTTAATGTATTCACCATAGCCAATCCTATAATGTGTTGCAGCAGCGGCAGACGTCCACCTAGCGGTGAATCCAACGAAATATGCAATTGTATGGAAAACATGGCGCATCCTAGTGGACTAAGCCACTGCATCGGAAATAATGAAGATTAAAAAATATCAGAACATTTTTTATATGACTGAGAATAACAAAATAATGCCCACCTGGTTGTTACTTCGTCCCACACCTTCCGTTTGTTGACGCACCAAAACTGCAATACCATTTATTAACTCCAAATCACTGATAACATTCATGCTGGTACTAACAATGGGCGCGTAAATGAGAAGGCGTCCAATGTAGTTTGTTTTTAGATTCTAAATAAAAAAGAAAGTACATTAGGGTGGTCATTAAATGTAGGAAGCAAATTTTTGCTCAGATTTCCTAAGCCTCAACACCTACGCTGATGCCACTATAGTCGAAGATATCACATTAAAATTTTGGTCTCAATTGGAGACGGTTAAGGCGTGTCGCACAGGAGGCAATGTTCAGATTCCTCTATAGAGACTCAAAAAATCAAAACTTTTTTTTTTCATCTAATACTCAAAATCGATGCTACTATAGTCGGAGATAATATATATTTAATTATTTATTTATTTGTTTAATATCTTATAAATAAATTTATAAAATATTGTAAGGTGCAGGTCAACTAGGTCATAGTGCACCGGCGATGAATATACACTTGTATATCAGTTAAATGTCTTGAACGATGTTAGGTCGTTAAAGCTTTCTTAATAATTGTGATGCTTTCGCTTATGCTGCAGTCCAGAGCTTTCGATGGTTGCAGATTTTTGGATAATTGGGCAATGAAAAAGGCTGTGTTCTATGTCCAATGCGATCAAACAAGAGATACAATTGAATGGGTCCATTCTGGTGTAGTGGTGTTTAGTGGATAAT